GGCCCAGAAGCCCAGAAGTCTGGGTGTCTGGGCCCAAAAGCCTAGACGCGTCTGGATTTTTCTCCTCCAATTGACAGATTCGCCTGAAAATGTCATTTCCGACGATCACTGCCCCCCAAATCTCACTCAAATCACATTTTATCCATTATTAATTGATTCTACAACAATTTCTTCTAAGATAATCAACAAAAATTCAAAAACATGCTTTTTTTTTTCTCAACTCTTTTCCAAGTCACGTGTGAAGATAAAAATTGGAAAATTCTGGACTTTTAAGTTTTTTTTTTCCATTTTTTTTTTACTTGGTCATTGGCTATTGTGAAAAAATAACCGGACCAATCGAGTATTTTCCACCATTTCCTCCTATATATCAAGTGACTTAGATAGTTTCTAGATATATTATTATTATTATTATTATTATTATTATTATTATATTTTTAACAACCCTATTTGTCAATAGAGTAGTTGAATTTGATTTGTACGTTTAAGCCCTTGTTTGACCTACATTATTTTTTTCATTCTCATTTTTCTACTTATTTTCAACTACACATTCTTTAATAAAATAATATTTTCCATCTATCAATAACTTTTTTTTCATTTTCAACCACATATTCCCCATCATATCACTTCAAAAAAATGCATTCTCTCATTTTAATGTGCAGCAAACAGACTGTAAGTTAAAGAAGCTTCTTAACAAATCTAAGTAGCAACTTGTCCTGATCTTATCTCAATCTTTTATTAATAAAAATATTTTTAGAATGTATTAGTTAGAGTTGAACGTGTAATGTTTCTGGATATCTATTATTATTATTTTATTTTTAACAACCCTATTTGTCAATAGAGTAATTGAATTTGATTTGTGCATTTAATTTAAAGAAGCCTATTAACAAATCTAAGTAGTAACTTGTCCCAATCTTATCTCAATCTTTTATTAATAAAAACTTATTTAGAAAGTATTGGTCAGAGTTGAACGTACTATTCTCAAATACTTTACAAGCAATGTAAAAATAATAATTGATACCAGTTTGGTGAGATGATTTGATGAGTCTCAAATGCAACAAAAAAAAAAAAAAAAAAATTGGGATAAAAATTAAGAGAAGAAAATCGTGCTCTCAAAACTCAACTTCTATGATTCAAAAATTTTATGATAATGAAATACTACAAATGAGCGACATTTTTATACTACATTTGATATATAAGAATTAATTGATACATTTTTATACAACATTTTAGCACTCATTAAAATTTCTAAATACGTAAATAGAAATAAATTTATCTATAATAACTCTAGATTCATGTAGCTCAAGATTTATCAAGTCAATATTCATTGAGGTTGGATTAATGTGAATGCTAATTAATTGAGAATAAATAACACGAGATTCATACATGGCAAGGATTTTGTAGTATTTATTACGTATTGAAAAATGAAAATTAAGGTAGTATTGAAATAATTAAATTGTAGTAAGGTTAAAATGGTTAAAAAATGATTTTCACTTGATGTGATATTTAATATATTATAGATTAATAGCACGAAATTCATACATGACAATGATTTTGTAGTATTTATTATATATTGAAAAACGAATTGAATTGTAGTAGGATTAAAATCGTCCCAAAAAATGATTCCCACTTGATATGATTTTAATATATTATAAATTTATAAATTATTTAAATTATAAATAGATAGAATTGAATGATACATAAGTGAATATGTGAATAAAAAATTACTGGGGTGTTTATAAATATTTTACAAACATGTGCCAATATGCAAAATTATAATTTAAATATTACATATTTGGAAGAGATATCTTAACCAAAGGACGTATTTCTTCTGTGATTCTCCAACATCGAGAACATATTGGATATATTGAACACAACATTCAAATATATTAATATATTTCTCTATTTTAAATACTTTTAGTCGTGCTATCGGTATTTTTGTAAGTACTAGTTTTGGCCGTACAATGCACGGACTTTCATATTTTGATGGTAATGTTAACGTCGAATATGAAGAATTAAAGAAGGAGATATACGCGAGGTCAGCAAAATGAATAGTTTCATTAACGAAAAACAAAACCGGATTTGTACTCAAATCATAAAAACGGAGAATATCTAGGCAT